TGTGGAATGAGCAGAAGAGGTTTTCATCCTATTATGGTTATTGATTAACTATAATGTTTATCTACATTGATTGATGAATTCTTCCTAGTTATTTTATATATTTTAAATTTAGTCATCTACTGTGAGATATATATTTTGCATCCAATTTACCTATAGCCTTTTAATATTGACCAGATGTATATCTGCCACTGAGGATGACCGTGTATAATGGTGTAAAATATGTATAATGTGTATGATGAGGGAATTCTTGTCCACAAAAATTGTATACTATGCTTTTTGAACCTATTTTTATTGCTACAGCTGGGATGATTAGAAATCTATTAGAAATCTATTTTTATTTGAAACCAGGATTGTACATCTGAAATGTATTTGTTTTCTCCTTTATTGTATTTTTTTGTTCTGGAGAAAAGTGTATTTTTATCACTTCCTTTTGTACATTATTCTGAATCCCAAAAACAAAACAAAAAACAAAACTAAAGTTTGTAATATAAAGTGACTGATGTTTTAAAAGCTATAAATTTAATCTATTTTTTTTTAAAGGAACAACTTTCCAGCCCAATAGCAACTCTTCTGTGAATCCTGATCACTTGAACTATTTTAGATTTGCTGGACAAATCTTGGGTTTAGCTCTTAATCACAGACAACTAGTCAACATTTACTTCACAAGATCATTTTACAAGCATATTCTTGGTATGATTCTATTAAGATGTTAATGGTTTTGTTGAGATGTCTAGTGGATAATAAAGGCCTCTAAAAGTTAATTATATTATGTTATTTAAGCCTCTTCCACGCTCTATTACTGTGCTTAATGAGAGCTGCAGCATTACTACAAAAGCAACAATATATATATAAAGCTTTAAGCTTCCCATCTAACTATAATGATAGCTAAGCATCTGATGGCACCAATTAGCATTAATGTAGTGCTTTTACAAATGCTTTTCATGTAAAAATATTTATGTAGATATTACAGCAGTTTAGGGCTAGTTAGCTAATGTGATGGACGTATTACAAATGGCTTGGAAGCTGAAAGTGATAGGCTAAGTATAAAAGGACCATCTTTAGTGAATCCTTTAGGATTTGCCAAGGCTTTTTCTTGTGTTCTGCTCTTAACCACAGCAGTAGCCTATATAGTGTAGCTTTAGTTGACAACCAGTTAACAATAATTTCGTGGCAACAGAACGGCTTGTAATAAATCACTTTCCTGAAGGCAATCTCTTTCACCCTGTGTTATTTCAGAAAGTCTGTAGAGGGCAGACATTGACCACGAATGAAACCATTTCAGCAGGCAAACTGAATTTTGTTTGCATTGTCTCCAAGGTATTCCTGTAAACTATCAGGATGTGGCATCTATTGATCCAGAGTATGCAAAGAACTTGCAGTGGATTCTAGACAATGATATCAATGACTTGGGGCTAGAGCTGACCTTCTCGGTGGAAACGGACGTATTTGGAGCAATGGAAGAAGTGCCTTTGAAGCCGGGTGGTGCAAGCATAATTGTCACACAGGAGAACAAAGTGAGTCATTGGGGATTACGTTTGTCTGGGGTGATTCTGAAAGGTAGCCCCCTTCAATTGGTATACTAACTACAAAATTGGTTCTAATAGGCAGCTTTTTCCTAGTGTGTTGAGAAATTAAACCAGAAATAAGAAGCAGCCATGGCTACCAACTGTTATGAGGTATCATACAGAGTCTGTTTAATACGCCAGGCATATTCCTTTATTGGTTCTGAAGGGACAGTGTGTAATAAAACAATAAAACATATGTAGCCTTCTTCTGTGCCTCTTCTTTAATAGTATTCTCGTTCCCCTTTCTTATCTATGCTTTGAGAAGCAATTCAGTCCTAGATTTCTGTTTACATGCCACTACTTTATACAACTTTTATTTTCATGTCATATTAATAGCCTTTTTAAAGTCTTTAGAAACTTGTTTAATGTAGTTTTTTTTTAATTTGTGCCTTCAAGTAGGTGTTGTACTGAAGTTTTCTTGGCAAGATTTCAGAAGTGGTTTGCCATTGTCTGCTTCCTAGGGTTGAGTGCATAAGTAATGCTATTTCCATTGATTTCAGTGGCAAAGGCATTGCTGAAAAGTTTTGATCATATTCCATTTTCAATAGATATTTATCAGATTTAAAACTAAAAATCCATATGTATGTCTTCCTATGTACATTTATTGCAGGTTGCCAAACCTTGTATGTCTGTCAGGAAGATGCATATAATACAATATGAGTTCAGTTGGTCAAAATTAGAATGAGGTTTGTTTAGATTAAATCCATGCAACAATATGGAATAAGTTCATGATAACTAATTTAAACTTCTGTAGATTTTTGTGAGTCTAATCTATGATTAACTAATCTGGATCCAGGCTTACTCTTGATGAGTGAAACATATAATAAAACAGATATTTCATTTTTATTTTATTAAGGATGTATAGAAAAGGTATGGTTTTGGTATGGTTTTAAATAGTGTAGATTGCACATAGTGTAGATTAAATATAATTAAAACAGTTATATTTTTGTAAGAGTTTTAGGCAATATACTTGGTACTATTATGAAGTATTTGCAAAGGATCTTTCACAGTCTGCTGTTTCTTTTCCATTTTGTCTTTTGTGTAATACTGCATTTTGTTAGACTAACCAATTGCCATGCTAGTTGGTGACCACTTGGTGTCTCTTTATTTTTATCTCTTCCCTTTTAGCTTTTGTAATGTCACAACTATTTATTATTTGTTTATTTGGTATTTGATCTTGATCAGCGTGAGTGATTTATGGGAGCTAGTTTCAGGTGATGCAAAGGTATGGATTCAGGTGTTTGAAGAACTATGTTGGAATAGGCATATCGGAGAATAAGCAAATGCTGAAGTGAATCTGATTGTTTATCTGAAGGTTTGTGAATAATAATAATAAAAAACATCAGCCACAACTAGAATTCACAGTTGCCATAATTACTAGAATACGCAAAAAACTGGAATTCTACATTGAAAGATGAATAGACATGTCTTTATTCCTGCATGTTTTCATTAAACTGCAGATTTGAAAAGAAAAATCACCTCTTTCTTATCACATGTCTCCTGACTTTCCCTCTCTTTATTAGTTTACGTTATTGAGGAAACCTTGAAATATCTTTAGTGCCAGTTTGATTCTGAGGGAAAAGTTACTTAATGATTTATGTGGTTAGAAAGATATAATTTTTAAATATTTCCATTGCAATAGACAGCTATAAAATGTGGTTTCCCCTGCAAAATGGGGACATCTGTGTAGAGATGCTCCACCTTCAGTATTGTAGCTGTTGCCTCGTGAGGGGGAGCTCACTATGTTTACCCTGCTTGAAAAATCTCAAATCATACTGACAAAAATCTAGAGCAAGTAGATGATTTTTTACTAAATATTTACTAAAACGAGGAAACAGAACTTTTAAGATATGAAAATGTTTGTAGAATGTTGTGGGTAGTATGCAGTGTTTTGAGAGGGATAAATGTTTGCTGAAAGAACTTGGATCAGTTCATTCCTGACTCATACTTTGAAAGTACAAGTTGGAATGTCACGAAAAACAAAAGTTAAGTTGCCATCTGAATTGCTTCCTTAGGGTGTGTGTGTTATAAAAAAGAAGAGGGCAAGAACATATGAATGCTGAGTGAATCTACGCTAAATGCCAAAGAAATGAATGACCTGAAGGGATGAAGGTTTGCTTATATAGAGAGAATGAGTGAGAATCAGATTTTAAGGAGGAGAAGTAAGAGGAGGAACAAGTGAATGGCCTGAGAGGAAGGGGAGACAAAGAAAGTTGTTATTGGTTGGAGTTGATAAGATCTTGAAAAAGAAACAATAAAAGGTTTTTGCATGATTCCATACATGCAGTATAGTTTTTTCTAAATTAACTTGAAACTGAAATACATTAGATTTGAAGCTCAGGTTAAATCCTCCCATTTCGTGGCATCTCTGTGTAATGAAACCGAAATAATTTTTTGCTAACAATTAAATATTTTCAGTGTAGGCTTCTCCAAGATGAGGAGGAATGTGGGGGATGCAGAGTAGTCTGTTACGACCTCTTCAATGGAAGAGCTTTGAAGGAAAGATGTTTTGAGTCCTTTCCCTGGAAATATAATTTAATTCTAAATATATTGGCACATAATACTTTTTTTCCCTAAAATTAGAATTTTAAATATACTTTTCACCAAGATCTTCATATCTGGCTTTCCAATATTTCTCAGGCTTTTATAGATTATCTACTAATAACAGAGGAAAATAATGAAACTTATTTTATCTCGTTCCCAAATCAACATTATTGTGCTATTGTACAAAACACATTATCCGTGTGTACCCTCAGATGGTGCAGCAGTATTTCCTAATTCTGTGTCCACATTCTTTTCCTAGGCTTAGATAAACTTTATATGTGATTCGTGGCAATAAATTTATTCTTGTGCTACTGCCTACATATCCTATCTGTCGGAAAAAAAGGAGGATCGATTACAATTGTAGAAGTTAATTATGGAGATTTACTTTTAGATTGCAGAAACAGAGGCTCCTATCTTCCCCTACTAGTATAGCCCAGTTGAATATTGTGAATATATGGAAAAGGCTCTCTTGAGCATATTAATATCTTTTTTAATTCTTTTATTTCTTCCTCTTCTTTTTATTTTATTTAGAACTTGAATAATAAGATTTTGGCATTGGCTTTTTTTTGTACATAGGTCATTCTATAAAACTCCATATATTCTGATTATACAATAGCATTAGCGATGCTATTATTTTATGTGCGTAGCAAGTGATTTCAGCATGACAGCATACTTAAAAGCATAGTGAAATTCTTTCATGTAGTATAATTCTGCTTACTGCTGGTAAACCTTCACTGGCAGTAGAAAACAGCTTTGCAGATGGAATTCATTAGACATAGGCAATTGCTCTGCTCATATCAGAGGAGGCTTAGGTGTTGGTTTTTGAAAAATCCAGTTGTGATGTAACCTTTTTCTGAGAAGAGAGCCTGTGTTTATCAGATAACTATGAAGAACATGATGAAGGGAGCAAGACTGCAGTTTGAGGTTTGTTGGTGAGGAAATATCTGCTTACTTGGCCAGATAAATTATACTTAAGGTGTGAGAGGATGCCTTTACATGTTATTTTTGATAATTTCTGGAGAAATATGTGAGGTGTGAAATGACTGAAGGAGTGAAAGGGTGGTGGCTGTCTTCAAATGGAGAGAAAAGAAGGCTCTAGTAAATTGTACATGAATCAGAAAAGTTTCTAAAGAACATAAAATGACAACTTCAGAACTATCTAGGATTAAATTTAACATGTTTACATAACAAAGGAGATGATGGAACAATTATTATTTTAGATTATACTGTAAACTATCATCTGGGAAACATTGAAAATATCTGAACAAAACATTGCTTACAAAGTTTACATATCAACAAAAAGCAGTTTGTAATCAACATAACTGAAAGAAGCAATTAAAAAAAACAAAACTGAATAATGTTCTAGGACCTATTGGTATTTTTACAATACATTAGGAAATCTTTCAAGAAAATTTGGTTAAACTATTAGGCAATGAATAAGAGTCAGGAACACTATAGAGCAGACACGTCAAACACAAGGCCTACAGGCCAATTCCGGCCCGTAATGGGCCCAGATTTGGTCCATGGGGTCACCCCGGAGACGGCAAGGGACCAGCCCCAGCTGCCCCACCCCCAGCCCCTCAGCCCAGCTGGGCACACCCACATTGTGCACATAGGAGGCAGTGAGTGTGCAAGGGCCAATGGTGTCTAGCAACAGCTGCAGCCTGCCAGTCCCTTGGCCGGGGACTCCACAGCCAGCTGTGACCACCGGGCCGGCTCTCCAAGCAGCAAGCATGTCAGCGGCACCAGCAGCAGGCAGAGGCAGAAGTGCAGGGGGGGAACACTCATGATCCAGCCCATCTGATGCATCTGCTCCGCCCCACCTTCTATCTTTGTAGCTGCCATGGCTGAGATGTAGCAAGTGGCCACGTAGCCATCTGGTGGGCCGGATTGTGTGCCTCTCCCCCTGTGCCTCTGCCTTCACCTGCTGCTGGTGCCGCTGCTGCGCCTGCTGTTTGGAGGGCTGGAGGCAAAGGAGCAGGGGAGAGGTACGCGATATAGTCTGTCAGATGTGCCTGCTCCGTTCCACCTTCTGTCTTTGTGCAGCCATCCTCTGGTGGATCAGGCCCAGCACCCACCCTGGTCCCAACCCCTTCTGTCATAGACCCCTGGATTCCCCTCAGCCCCCTCACCCCCCCAGGCATTCCGTGACACGAACGATGTTGAGCTCTTCACGTCCAACTTGGCCATGCCTACCCAGTCAGCCACAATCACCATAGCCATGCCCTCCTGGCCCCCTTGAGGGCAACCACAATGCTGATGTGGCCCTCAATGAAATTGAGTTTGACACCCCTGCTATAGAGAGAACTTTTCATGTTTCGATACACAGAATGAAATTATTTGACCCATCCAGAGTCATATGTCTTATTTCTTTATTGAATGTAGATTACAAGCTTTTTATGGCAATGCTTACAAAGAGCATAAATGTTTTTTAAACAAAGTGATACACTCTGATTAGACTGAATTTGTTCCAAAGAGATATGTAAGAAAATCAGACATATCTGATGTTACCAATAACATGAATTTTCAAATCAGAAAGTAACTATAATTTTTCCTGATTCAGAGAACGATTCTGATAACTTGGAATGGTCTTTCATGCTTTCAGTTTTCAAAAAGATGAATTATGGCTCTATTCTTTTACACGTATACACAGTATGTAAAAGAATAAGAAGCCAGGTAACAGTAAATAGTTTTCTTTATCAAAGAATGCAGTATATTGAGGATAAAGTTGTCCTCTCTATATCCTTCCTTGTCTCTATTGATATTAGAGTCATTGGCAGTGAAAATAAGACAAGAAAGCAAAATTTTAGGAATCAAATTAGCAGCATAAGAAATACTTTGAAATTATATGGTTATAATATTGTATTTCCATACTCAAAATATTTTTTAGTATTAGTGGTAGACCATATATATAGATGTATATCAGGTTTTCAGATCACGACAATAAAACTCAAATGCTGACTTAAAAACAGAGGGAAAAAGACAACATTTATACCTAAAAACATTACTACAAAAAAGATGAAATATTTACAAATTTATTTGATAAAACCGTTATAAAAATAATTATTTACAGATTTAGAAGAATAATATAGGAGAAAAACTGACTGAGCCAGGGGGGAAGAGTCAAATGGGAACTTAGTCTAGAATCCCTATGTGGGGGCATAAGAGGGCGAAGCCTGATCCCCCCTTGACTGAACCTTATCTGGTTTTACCCAGTTGCAAACTATCAGTCTGAGAAGATTCCTATGTATAGCTTGAGCAATAAAATAGCTAATTGAATTCTTCAAGTGTGGGTCTGGTTGTTTACACCTGACAAATATAATGCTAGACTTTTAAGAGTGGAGGCAATTGAAGTTGTTTTGGTTAGGAAGAATTGATAGCAGCTGTTAAAATTCTATTAAGACTTAACTTTCTGTTCTGAACAATTCCAGTAAATATTTAGAACAAATGATTAAATGATTGACATAAACAAGTAACAAATCACATATGGTGTAAAATCAAGGATTATTTTTGATATTCTTCAGTGTTCAAAAACAGGTATATGGATTTGCAGCTACAATTCTCCAAACTGTGAATTGTATTACCAAGCTAGGTGCTTGATTTGGGTCATGATGATCTTATTGTCTTATGGCTCAAACACCTTTATGGAAAAGTAAGGAAGATCCAGATGGTCTAGATAAATATATCTGCATTCACAAAAACAGTTTATAAAAACAGTGCATGCAATAAGAAGAGCATATTGAAAGTAGGAATAAATACAGAAAAAGAGTCAGTCCAGATTTATTCCCTCTTGCCTTTTAATATATTTAACATTTATTGAATTGTTTATTTACATGTTGAGAACAGCATAAATAACTTTGTTCAGTGGAGAAATGATCCATGTAGATTGCAAGATTTGATTATCAATAAGTCAAAGAAAATCTTTTTGAGACTCCTGCAATGACCTAGTCTACCTAATTTCAATATCTTTAAATATTGAATCTATGTCTATCTATGTCTTTGTTTCAGCAGTGCATTTGAAAAAATACCCCACAATATTCTGACTTAACAGGCTAGTGAAGTGTGGACTGGATGGCATGAACATTAAGCTTGTAAATGCTTTATTAATTGTTGCTCATCATTGTTGTGAAGAATTAAGTGGAGTGTCTCAGTTTCCATTCTGGACCCTGTACTAACCAAGATTCAATTATTTTAATGAAGTGGAGGGAATATTCAGCACACTTACTAATAGCACAAAATTGTGTGGAATGACACATATTCTAGAAGACAGAAATAAAAAGCAGAATGTTCTTGATAGATTAGAGAAATGGGTTGAAAAACAGTTCAGAAGTACGAGAGTACAACACCAAGGAGCAGAAACCATGTTTATTGCTAAGATTGTTGTGTGCCTGCTTTGTAAGAAAAAGGGACCAAAAGAATGCGAAAGCCAAGAGTTTTATAGAAATTGGGGACTACAAGATGGGGAATCCTAGAAATCTGATTTGCTGGTCAGTTTGGGGAAGCTAGGAAGATCCTCGTCCATGTAACTGGAGTTATTCCTATTCTTAGGCAATGTAGCTTTTAAGGAGCGCAGAAGAGCTGAGCAAGTCCATTATTAAAGTGATGGAATGTTGAGGTCATCAGCTGATGGAGGATGGATAGTTGTAGGTCTCTTCTTAGGGCTGCCCTTGCAATGTACTGAAAGTTGGTGAGGGGGCTTCTAGGTTTTGATCTAGATGTGATTATAGGAGGTTTTATCTGAGGGCAAGGAAAGTCAGTTTGAGTCTCATGGGATTAGGCAGTTAAAGAAACTGGGTTTGACCCCGACCATGTCTAAAGGACAAGGAAGAAAAGGGTGCAGCCTCCATTTTATTTGCTACATTTATTTTCTCCACCTCAGTGAATGAAATTTAAAAGAGACATATACTGTACAAAAAATGTGATGGGACATCAAAGAGACCCTGGGAAAGTAGAGGAGAAAAGAGGGCCATTGCATCAGTTCCTCAGCTTGACAGCAAAGCAAAATCAATTAGCAGTTAATGTGTTGCACTTGGCTTGGTAATGGTGTTTGTGGAAGAGATTTTGGAACAGCATTTGATTACAAACTGAATATGATTCCACAATATGATATGGCTGCAAAAAAAGGCCAAATGTTATTTTGGCTTTATTTTATTGCTAGACAGCCATCTGTCTGAGGTACTTTAATTTAGATTCCTGCACTGAGCAGGAGGTTAGCCTCCAGGGCCTTAAAGGCCTTGGCTAACTCTGTGGTTTAAGATATTAGTATAATTAATACCAGAATAGATAGTTAAGACCATTCACAGGTGCTGAATTACAGTTCTTGTCCCAAAAGATCACTGGAGATGTCAGGACCTGAAACTAAATATATCTGGAAGACATTTAAATGCCTCTCTTGATCCAGAGTATACATTTTGCAGCATGCATAAAAAAAAGGTTTGACACGAAAATAAACATGATTCACAGGGGAATTTAGTTTATTTTCTTTTTAATCAGCATCAACTCTATTATACTTGTAATTTAATATAAACTTATCTGAGAATTTCTTTTCCATAGTAGTTCGAATTGCAGAAAGTGTCTGCTGTTACAGTTTTCAATCTAGACATTCCTTAAATTATTGAGGCAGTATAGTTCAACCCGGTTGAATTGCCTCCCTTTCTACTGTCTAAGAATTATTATGCAACTTTTTTTTGGGGGGGAGGGCATTTCCCTCTTCCTTTTTTAAAAAAAACCTATTTGTCATGTGTCTGATTAACGAAACACTTAAAAGGACTTTCAGGCATATTTTCTCCTAAAAGCATTTATTAAGGTTACATAGACGTCAGTACAGCATGGTGGAAATGCTTAGGTCTGGCTTCTTTTCCGTTACGCATATACATTCTAAGCATTCCCCCCCCCTTATTTTGGGGTCATGGTTCACATCTTCCAATCAACTTGGAAGATGTGATTTACTTCCGGTTTCTTTTTCCCGGGCTATCCTTATTCTCCTCCCTTTTTCCCTGTTGCCTGGTTTAACTATAAAAATACCAGACAGTTCTGCATATTGTCAAAGCAAGAATATACAGTATTTGCAGTGTTGACACTATTTTTTGCCTCTAAGCGATGCAGGCAGTGGTGATGTAGCATTTAAATGTGATGTTGTTTTCCTTGTTTCTGGAGGTTTTTTCTTTTTACCTGAATGTGTGTTAAGGTAGTTTTAACTCACCTATTTGAAATCTTACAAAATCATTTTCAGAAAGACGAAGAAATTGTACAGCATAAAATCATCATTTTGCCGTATTTCAGGCAGTGAGATCCTTGCAAACCTTTGTGTCCTTAGCGCAAATTTGGGGAGCTGTGATTTCCCCATCTTACTCTGTAAATCAAACAAATCATATAGTGTTATAATTCTGATTATAGAAACATGTGTAATTGTGTAATTGAAACATAAGTTTCTTTTCTACAAGAAGCCACACTGGAGAGAAGTGTTGATTTAACCTCATTTTATATAAATATTTTATGTGGTTTAAAAAAAATAGATGTGGTTGAACATTAAAAGTGTTACAGGTATATATTGCAAAAAATAAACAAGAATGTGACATTTACTTTTCTTTTGAGAAGTGAAATTGATGTGTGAACAAAGTATGCCCAAGGAAAATCTCTCCTTATAACTTTTATATTTTAAAGACTTAGAACACATTAGAATATATTTTTTGTGTATATTCAGTTTCATTTCCATTAAAATAAAAATGAATAAAATGTTTCTTCCAATCAAGGAATCATATCTGCAATAGAACTGTGGGATTGCAAATAGCTCTGCATTGTTCAGGGCCATTAGAAATCCTTACACAATGGCTTTCAAAATTCAAAATAAGAATATTCTCTAATATTTTTTCTTTACCAGAATTGTCTAATATAAGGGTAGGAGTGGGGTGGTGAAAGTTCCAGAAGGGGGCAACCCAACGAGGAGGTAAATGGAACCACATCAAAAATAAATTTTGATTTAATTAGATTAAATATAGTAATTTTAAAAAATATTTTCACAATTTTCAGGCTGAATATGTCCAACTTGTTACTGAGCTTCGAATGACGAGAGCCATTCAGCCTCAGATAAATGCTTTTCTTCAAGGTTTCCATATGTTCATTCCTCCTTCTTTGGTACAACTCTTTGATGAATATGAATTGGTGAGTAAAATTATATTGTGTGATTGAGCACCTTATGATTTGTATAGTTCAGTGGTGGTGAACCTATGGCACGCGTGCCAGAGGCAGCACTCAGAGCCCTCTCTGTGGACACACAAGCCATGCCCTGGAGATGGCAACCATCCCTCTTCAACCAGCTGCCCACTAACTTGCCGAGGTCCCACATGACCGGATGCATCCCAGCACCCATGCGCTCGCTGGCCTCTGTGTGCTCTCTTGCCCTGTGACAATGGCACCCCCGCCCTGCCTCGCCTCATCCCACAGGATGAGCCTCCTGCCCACCGCCCCACCTGGCAGAGACCCCCTGGATCTCCCCCAACCCTGCCCGGTCCCCACAGGCGTCCCTCCCCACGAGCAACATCGAGGTGATCACGCCCACCTTGGCCACTCCCACCCAATCTGCCATGACCACCACAGCCACGCCCACCTGGCACCCGGCGATAAATAAGTGGATTTTGGGTTGCAGTTTGGGCACTCGGTCTCTAAAAGGTTCGCCATCATTGCTATAGTTAATGGTACAGAATGTAGCAACTTTGGAACACTGAACTTATTAATTTGGACAACAGTTTCACTTTATTTTGTTGAAAGTGAGTAGAATATTTTATATGCCTTTTTTGTAATCTAAATGTATCTAAAGAACCAGGCACATGCTAGTACTGTAGTTTTCGGATTTCTGTGTTCAACAGTTGATCTTATATTGATTTAGAAATCCTATCATTCTGTGTCATAACAGAATAATGTTTTCAAAGGTGAATAGTCTTCAGAAAAATAAACCACTTTACAGCTAAAAATGTGACCAGTTTAACTTGTCATATTCATAACAAAATTTGGTTTCTCCTTTTTTTTAAAAGGAATTGTTGCTTTCAGGCATGCCAGAAATTGATGTAAATGACTGGATTAAAAATACAGAATATACAAGTGGCTATGAAAGAGATGACCCAGTTATTCAGGTAAAGTATGGGATGGATTGCTATAGCTATACATTTCAACCAGTTGCTCCCCCCCCCCCCCCGTTTTTAATATATTACCTGTCTTTCCAGGCTGTTTAAGTTTTGTGGAAATGAGGCACAGTGAGACTGGTTTGAATTTACCAAAATACAATTTTCATAATGTAGTCATATTTGTATCTGCTTATTAATGAGAATTTGCAGGACAGATTTCAAAACCGTTTTAAAGAAGTAAAACATGGAAAGAAATTCATATTAGCACAGTGAAAAAGTTAAAAATGAAATAAAAAAATGAAATGTGTGTGTATGGGTACTTATATCTAGATATCGATCTTTTTAGTGTAATATGGGAATTAAATATTAAGAATAAAAATGCCCCCCAAATAATACTTTAGCATTATAGCAGAGAGGCCCTTTCATCTACCTGCATACCGACATTTTGCAAATAGTTCAGAATTTGAAAAGTCATTGCAATGAATCTGGCCTGAAATGCATTCAAAACTCTGCTGCTTCAGAGTATTACATATTTGTATTGGCAACCAAAATGAGTACCTTAGAAGCTGCATATGGTTACATGACATTTTCAAACTATGTTCAAAACTATCATGCCTTTTAGTAAGAAATTGCCAGTTTCCGCTTGCCCAGAAAGAATTGCAATTGATAAAAACTTCCTAATAATTGAGAGTGCCGGGTCTTCCAATGATAATGGAAGATGTCTAGGAACATCCCAAACTGCATTCACGCCCCTGAAGAATATTGTCTTAATTTTTTTAAGATCATTACATAATATATAAAGGTTATATAATATAATTACATAGCATATGATATACAGTTGTATTGTAATTGTAACTTGTACTAATTATGCCATCATGTAAGAAAGTAATATAATTATAATCGTATAATTGAGTTAGGTTGATAAATTAGCTATTAACTTCTGTTTTGAAGATTTATGTTTATAATTTGAAACTCGTTCAACTTTTGGCTTGCATCTAGCAGCTAAATTTCTGAAGAAACCTGAACAAAAACAAATTGATTTATTTTTCTTTCTAGTGGTTTTGG